CAGTCTCCCCTTCGCTTGCCGCGATGACCAAGAGGAGTGGAGAGCGTCGCTCCGACGAGGCCACGCCTTCGAGATGCGACGTGAACCCCGCGGCAGCAGGGCGTCGTGAGAAGCCGCTGCCTCGTCGTCGCTCGCCCAGTTCTTCTTGCCTCGATCGGAGGGATCGGAGCCGCAGCGAAGGGATGAGCATCGCCAGCTCTCACGACCACAGGAGCCAAGAGCGAGTTCGCGCGCCCGATGTCGCACCCAGCTGGCTGTCTGAAATCATGAAGTGTGTGAAGGACACGAACAACAACATCGCCAAGTTGAATCAGGATATGTCGCAGGAGATCGAAGGGTTACGCTCTGCCGTGTCCACTCACGATTAGAACCTGTAGTCGGTCAGTGCGCGGTTGACCAGAGCCGAGCAGAGCAACGACGACTCCATCCGCGCTGCGGTCGCTACTGCCACCGACACCAAGCTCGAAGCCATTAACGCCCAGATTGATGTGTTACGCCGTCAGCCCGTGCCGTCCTCGGCTGCCAGCAGTAGGTCGGGCCGCTCGATTTCGACGCCCTCGGCAGGTACCAGTATGCAGGCCAAGCCGATAGATGAGCGCAAGCGGTGGATTGGCTCTTTCCCGAGGTCTTTGACGAAAAGCCAGCGCGAGGCACATTGGAACTCAATTCAGGGCCATCTTACATCTTCCCTACTTGAACGCGTTCAACCTCAGTTTCACGGCGTGGCCAAGAGCTACGTGCTGGTGTTGCCGACGCCGTTTGATGCTCGAAGTCTCTCCGACTCGTTCCGCTCCCTGGACATGGTCTGCGTCGACCCGAGGGGCCGGAGCCGCCGCCAAGTTCGAGTTCGACAGGACTTGCCGCTCGACGTCAGGTCCAAACAGCGCGCCGCGAGCTCCCTGCGGCCTGGTGCCCTGGAGCTGGTGCGCAAGACCAACCACCCCCTCGACGGGTTCAAACTCGGGGTGAACGGGTGCCAGGGGCTCATGCACCTTGCCAGCGAGGACGAGGTGTGGGAGCTGTTCCACATCAAGGGGTCCGACGCTGCCGGGTGGACCTCCGAGCCGATTTCCAGCAGTTGGCGCGCGCGGAGCGTCCAGGACTCCGACGCGCGGGCCCTTGTCGCGCTTGCGACTGGCGAGGCCCGTGCTCTTTGACAAACGCTTGATCGAGAATGCCAGGTTCGTCGTGCGGATCTCCAGCCTGCCGTAGGTGAGGCGATGGGAGCATCTCTCAGTCGATGCGGCGCCTCTGCTGCTGACCGCGGCAGTCTCTGTCAGCAGTGATTCACCTGATGTGCGTTCAGATTCTGATTCTAGTAGTAGCGTGCCCAGTTCAAACTCGTCTTCCGCTGGGCCCCCCGGGGACCTTACAGCCCCCCTCTTCCCCCCCCCTCTCCGTTGGTCTGAAAGGGGGCATTTGGGGCGATCATGGCCTTCAGAGACGCGCGCATAATTCCTTCAGGTATATTACTACTACGCGTGATGTTCTCCTTCTCCAGGAAGCCCATGGGGCGAGCGAGGGCCCGGGCGAGGTTCGACGTGTTTGCCCTGGCTGGGCCCCGAAAGGCAAGTAGTTTATCATCTGTTTTTGTCAGGGCCGCACTGCGGGAGGCTCGGTCGTCATGATCTCCCCGCGCATCGCCGTGTTTCAATTTCGTTGACTGGCGCGCCATCTGCGCGGGCAGAGTGGGCGGGCTCGTCCTCCGCGGAGCGCATGGCGCGCTAGATATCCACAACCTGCATCTCGACCCTGATCTCTCTCAAGCTAGTATGAAACAACTGCTGCTCTCTGTTAAGCGTCGTCCTGCGCCTGCTGCCTGCGTCGCTAGCATCTTGGGCGGTGACTTTAATTTTGAGTAGGTGAGGGGGGCGGACTACGCGCGAGCAATTCCAGGCTGGAGTTCGGGCCCGATCATCTTGGGGGGTTCTTCCAGCAGACGCTTCCGCAGTTCATCGAGGTTTGTTCAAATCGAGTTTACCTGCGAGCGAGTCGCGAGTCGTTGGAGTCGTTGCGAGCGAGTCGTCGAGGGTGCATGGGCCGCCTTCATTTTATTACGCCAACTCGTCAGCTGTTAGACCCCGCGCCGACGACTGCCGTCTTTTGGAGAATCACCCGGGGGCGTATATTCCGAGCGACCACGCGGCTGTCTTCGTCTCCCTGCATGCTCGCGCGCCTTCTATTCGCCCGTCCGTTCCCAGGTGGGCCACCAGAACACAGCTGTCCAAGGGGGCGCTTCTTCTCGCCCCCCCGCCCACGGAAACTCGCTGAAACCAAGGAGCTCATTTATGAAGTGGCTCGTCGCGCCAAGTTCGCCGCCGAGCTCATCGGCCCCGGCGCCCCCGAGGGAGAAGTTTCTCGGTGTCTTGCCCTTCTCGGAGCCCGCGGGCACGATAAACCCAAGGTGATCCACCGCGCTCCGCGCGCCTACCTTGTCCTTCGCGAGTTCTTCTGCGCGGGCGAATTTCAGCGGTTGGACTTCTCTGGCTTCAGCGACGAGGTGGGCGAGATCATGAGGGGACAGCGCGGCTTAGAGGAACAGGAGGTAAAGAACGACAGGCAGGCCTCGCAGTCTGTTCAAGAGCGTCGGGTCGCCAAGCGTCGAGGGCTTTCGGCGGCGCGGGCTCCGGCGCACCGCCGGCTGCATTTAACGGCGGTCGTCGACTGCGACGGGGGGGCGGTGGAGGGCCCCGACGCGGGCGGGGCTACCTCGGCCGATTATCGGGTGGAAGTGGCCAGGGTGAGGGAGGTCGGGGAGGCAGAGTTCGCACGGATCGACCCGTTCATCCAGTCCTGCAGTCCGTCGACGCATCGGAAGCTTTCTTTTCAGAGGTTTCACGAGATCTTGCGTCGCCGTTCTGACGGCGCGCCAGGGGCCGACGGGGTGCTTTATAGTGCGTGCAAAGCTGGTGGGCTCTTTGTTGCAGATGCCCCCCACTCCGTCTACTCCTACCTCCTCGACGGCGGCGCCCCCGATCGCGAGTTTAACCGTGCCCTCGCCGCGTTCCTCCCCAAATCTCGGATGGCCCTTGGAATCCTGGCGGTGGCCCCGCAGGCAAAACTCGCGCAGCTGCGTCTACGCGTCCGCTGGCTCTGTCTAACGCTGACAACAACATAATGGCAAGTGCTATGGCGGCTCCACTCATTCATGCTGCCAGCTATTCAGTGGACGAGCGTCGAACAGCGCGCGCCCCTGGGTTTCAGATGGGGCGCGCGACCGAGCTAGAAAGTCTGCTTGCGATCGATCAGGCCGTCAATTATGAGCGCGCCGCTGGCGCCGCACTCATTGACGTTCGCACGGCCCGCTGCTGGCGCCGCCCCCGATGATTTTCGCGCGGCGCTCCCCTCAGCTAGTTGGAAGCTGATGAGGTATATCGCGTGCAGAATGGGCATCCCCTCCTTCTTCGTTGAAGCCATCTTCTCTCTCTCTCTCTCTCTCTCTCTGTCTTTCTCTTTCTCTCTCTCTCTCTCTATCTCTCCTTCTCTTTCTTTCTCTCTCTCTCTCTCTCGCTCTTTCTCTCTCTTACTCTCTCTTACTCTCTCTTTCTCTCTCTCTCTCTCTCTCTCTCTGTCTCTACGCCAACCTCAACATCAATTTGAACTTCAAGGGCAATTTTTTCGCGTCCCACAGAGCCCCGGGCCCCGGCCTCACCCTCGACATGATCGCCCGCAATGCGTTCGCGTTCCCCGTCGCCAGTCACGCGGCACAGGTTCGCGCGCCGACTGAGGAGGTCTGGGAAAGTGAAGAGCGAGCGTCGCAATTGCTTTCTGCAGCCCCTACTTCTGCCATCTCCACCCTCCTCCTCAAGAACCTCGCCTCCGCGGGTTTCAAGCCGGCCCTGAGTGACCCGATTTGTGCGAGTGCTGTCGCTACGCGTCGCTTGGCAGCGCGGCCAGTTGCTCTCAGGCGCGTGGAGACGCGCCTTGATGAGATCATTGCCGAGGACGAACAGGTCGTCTCATATCCGTAGATTCCCTTGTTCAGAGACCCGATCTATGCACGCAACACGCGTATCGCCAGCGTCGTTGGTCAGATCCCTGGGGTGCCCCGCGAGCCTCTTGCGTCCTGCTTCCAGGCAAAGATCCAGCGCGCGTTTAGGCTGTCCTGTGATGCTCGGACCCCAAGCTTCCAGGTGATGATGAGGTCCCGACTCAAGAGGTTGGTGCCAAATAGCTCTCCAGAAGATGAGTCTGCATGGTTCATCCGCACCTACTCCATCGCCAAAAAGTTGCCCGCCTGCATTCTTGCCGCTAATTCCAAGACCCTCGGCAACGCTTGGAACGCGACTCTGAGATATGGGTTGGGGACGCAGCGATGCAGGATGGGATGCTGTGCTGTTGGGGGATTTCGTACTCCTCTCTTCAAGAAGTGATCTCAGAGGCCCTTCCTGACCTCCCTCCCTCTTGGGACCCGGCTAATGTTTCTTCCCAGCTCATCCTTTCTAGGTGCTCCCTCTGTGTCCCCAAGCCTATCCTCATTAGCGTTGCCATTGCATTCGATCTCATGTTTGCTTGCTTCAACGAGCTTCGAGTGAGCGGTCGAGAAGGTTCGGCCGCCATGAAGAGGCAGGAGCAGGCTCGGCGTCGGCAGCTGGCACGGCTCTCCGCCGCAGCTCGAGGCGCGTTCCGTGTGTGTGTGGGGGGGGGGGACAGGTCCCCCTCCCATCTGAATGCTGGTCCTCCTGCTCCTCTTCCTCCTCCTCCTTTTCCTACTTATCCTCTTCCTCCTCCTCCCCTTTCTCCTCTTCCCCCCACCACTCCTCGCCGCTAATATGTTGTCGTTCGTTTTCCGTCCTCGGTCGCGTCGCCTCTGATCTGCGCCGCATGTGCGCCCATGTTTCCCTTGATAGTACAAGGCGGGGGCGATGGCAACGGATCAGAGCGGGTCGTTGGGAGGGAGGGCAGAGAGAGACCGATGGAGGGGGGGGGGTCGGGCTGGAGGAGGCAGGAGCACGAGCAGAAGGAGAGGGACTTTGGGGGAGCAGGTTCAGGAGGAAGGGGGGGGGCGACGGAGCGGGAGGGGGAAGGCAAATGCAGGAGGCGAACGGGCTGCAGATGGGCGAGGGGAAGGAGTAGGAGCCAGAGGAGAACGAAGAAGCCAGAGCGCAGACAAGTGGCAGGATGTAGAGTTACTTGCGGATTTGGGATCCGGCCCAGTTCAACGTGCTTGACAAAGCCGACCGGTGGAAAGAGTCGATGCAGTTGCTGAAGGGGGCGATGAGTTTCCCAGGCTTTCAGAACATATTCACGCACATGGAGGAGCTCGATAGCTCCGCCCTTCCCACTCCTTCTATTGCCTGCCAGATGCGGAGTAGGAAAGAGGGAGGGAGGGCAGAGATGAGAGATGGTGAGAATGGTGACGCTAGAGAGGAGGACGACGAGCAGATGGATCCCACTTTGTCCACACCCTGTTCGTGGACTTGTTTTTTTGTCAGGAACCTCCGACCCTGTCGGCCCAGTGTGGCGCTGGTGCGCCTCTGCGTGCCGGGCAAGTCAGAGTGACCCTTGGCTTGAGCGTCATTTGGGGTGCACGGGGGGAGAGTTGGGGGGGGCCAGCCCAGGGACGCAGGTCGCTACCGTCGCATCGCATGCAGCGACCGGCATGCCGCACATCAAAGGTCACGCTTGCCTAGGGCCGCCCTTGCGTGTGGCTGATGCGTGTCTGAAGTTCGGCGGCGAGTTTAGAGGGGAAATGAGAAGGAGCAGGCCTTCTCAGAAGGCTCGGAAGTCCCCCGGCCTCTGAGAAGTTGCCTGAACCTTCCCCGATGAAAAGCAAAAAACGCCCGAGAGAACGCGAGGCCCTCTGAGAAACCCCGCGGCCTTCTGAGGAGGCCTTGTCCTTCTCGCTTCCCCCCCTCGCTCGCCGCCGAGAAGCGCCTGGCCCTCGCCCGAGCGAGCTGGCTGCGACTCCCCCGCGGCACGCGCGGCAGGCGGCAGGGCGCTCCGGGGCCGCGCGCGGGCTGCTGCTGCCGAGGGCCGCTGCCGCCGCAGCCCCGACCGAGAGCCGCCGCTGCCGACACCCCGCGGGCCCCGCCCTTTGCTATCCCCTCCTCCTCCTCCTTCCTCCTTCCTCCTCCTCCTCCTTCCTGCTCCTCCTTCCTCCTTCCTCCTTCCTCCTCCCTCCTCCTCCTTCTCCTCCTCCTTCCTCCTCCTCCTCCTGCCTCTTCCTCCTTCCTCCTTGCTCATCCCCCTCCCCCTCCAAGCTCAGGAGGGGAAAAACACACACACAGACACAACGAATCGTCGATTCCCAGGAAAATATGGGGAAATATGGGAAGTGGGGGGGGAAAAGACAATGACCCAGAGCATCTAGGAAAGTAGGGGGAATCCTTTGATAGGTGTGTATTTCTTTGTGTGTCTCAGGGCCCCTTCACAAGCGGGGTGGTGACCGTACCGTGTGGTGAGCCGGTGGGGCTTCGGGATCGCCGCACACGGTTTGGGGACTCGAGTCCCTCTCCGAGGATGTTTTCGGCGACGGGGGCCTCCAGGGTCCAAACGCCGTGCGGTGACGGAGCGTGCGGTGAGGTTTCTTGGGGTTCCGAGGTCACCGCACGGTCTGTCACCGCACCGCTTCGGGACTCCAAACTACGGCTGGCACGAGGGTCGGGAATTACAGTCAGCGCGCGCAGTGAGGACGCGCGCCTTTTCTAGGGTACCCTTGCGTCCTTGCCGCTGCGGCCCGTCCTCTGCGGTTACCGCTGAGGTGCTGGTCACCCGCCACCCAGCAGATCCCATTTCGGCCTCCCAAGGGTTTTGCGTCCTTGCCACCCGTTCTCGATCTACGTTTTCATTCCGGCACCCCTCGCCTCGGAAGGGCACCCTGATGTCCTTCGCGGTTGGGCATCTCCGCCGTGGAACGCACTTGCTCCTTGGGCATCTCCATGGGGCGGCCTGAGGGCTCAGGCGAGGGGGATCCTGATCTTGACCCATGATCTTGTGGCAATGCTTCGACGGTGTCCAGTCCGAGGCATCTGCCCTCCCAGCTCCTGGATCTGGCCCAGAGCTCGGCTGGATATCCTGCCGTGCCGACGCTCTCGCATGGGATGGGAAACGCTTCCCGTGACCTGGAAAACGCCCGCCTGGGGGATCGATCTTCGAGCCATTGGGCAGGCGGTGGATGTCAATCTCTTCGGGATCTCGGAGGGCCAAACATATCCATCTCCACTGCCTGGCGGCATCCTCGAGGATCGATCTCCCAGGTGGTGGTTATGGATAAAACCACACATCTCGCCTTCTGCCTATTCCGCCACCATGGCTAGGTTGTGGACCCGAGGCGTCTTGGATGCCTGTTGGGGACTCTTGGGGTGCCTCTCGCGGGCATCTCAGAGGCCTCTTGATAGGGGGGCTCTTGGGGCCTCGGGGGGGTCCTCTAGCAGGCCTCTTGAGCGCCTCTGGGGCTCTTCGGGACCCTCCAGGGCATGTTGGAGGTCCTGGGTGCCAGGCGCATCTAATAAGAAAGTGCCTGGCCTGCAGGCGCCCCGCGGGTAGCCACGTCTTATCCCTCGGTGGCCCCTGGGACCCGCAGAAGCTGTCGGGCACCCGAGTAAGCTCAACGCCAGGCGTCGACCGTGCCCCGAAAAGCACCGCGACCAAGCGATCACGTAAGGAGTGCCTGGGGATGTCGCAGCGCCCCATCTAGAAGAGGACAAGTAAAAAAGATGTGTCTGGCTACAGTCGGGGCCTTGAAGAATGAACCCTTTTCGTTGGGGAGGGGCTCCGTGTTCCTTGAGTGTTTCACAGCTTGCCCCAGGTTGTCCTTCGGTTTTCGATGGGAAATCGAAGTTTAACTTATGGAAAATAGGGGCCTCGTTCCTTATTTAGGGTTCCTTAGGTCAAGACCCCGACTGTAGTCGTCGTCATCGTCGCCATCGAGGCCGCAAAGGCCGCAGCCGGCGGCCCAGACGACGCGGAGCTGCTGTTGTGATCGCACCGGTCCGGCGTTGGGTTTCCTGCTTTTGTTCTCGTGCGTGCCATCGACTACACGCTGCTCATGTCGGATTATTCGAACGGTCTTCGATGTTTTGGGGGGCCAAGATCCTTTCATTGCTAACTGTTCTATCCTGGGCACCTTCCTGGCCACTAGGGGGCCAGGAACAATTAGAAACGAGCACACTTAGAAATGAGCACGATTAGACATGAACGACGTGTACACGTAAGAGTGATCCTTTGCAAGACTGACCTTTGGTGCGGGCCCACTGGGGTCCCCCGATCGCCGAACGCGATGCGGTAGCAGCGTCTCGCGCGCATGTGTTTGGTCCCCCCGCGGCCCCCGAGAAGCCGCGCACCAAAGGTCGTTCTTACCCAGGGTCGCTCTTGCTTCTGTGCCCTCCTTTGTGGCACAGCTGGCAGGGGCTCCAGCCGCCTCTGCCTGTGCACTGGTTGTTTGGCCGTGGTGCGCTAGCTTTTCACGGAGCACCCTCGAGGATGAGCACGTGCAGCTGCTGGCCAACAGCCACACGTAGTGTTTGAACGTGGTGCGAGGGGCGTGTTTGCCATGCATGCGCAGTGGTCTTTTTCAACCCATACTATTTACATGGTTTCGTGCCCTTCCCACCTCTCCAGGGAGGCCCCGCCTGAGCGAGGAGGGTATCGGAAACCCACACTATTTATATGGTTTCGAGCTTCTCCTTCGTGTTGATTTTGTCGTACCCCATGGGTCCCACGAAACCGTTAATATCTTTATGTGGGGAACTCCGTTAGCATAATTCATGTCCGCCCCGTTTGACGGGGCGAGCCGCTCCCCGAGCGTGCTCGCTCGGGCCCTGCCTGCCTGCCTGCCTGGGGCGCTGGGTCCAAACACGGCACCTCGGCGCCCGGCTCGAGCCCCGCGCCCGAGGGGGCCGCCATGCCGCCATGACGGGCGGCGCCCGCGCCGCCGAGGGCGGCGCCGCCTCCCCGGCGGGCTCGCGGGAGCGAGGCGGCCCACCGGCGGCTCCGCACGGCCTCCGGCGGCCCTCCACTTGGCATCGCTTGGACGTGTGCGTTTTTTCCTCGGCGAGGACCATCGAGGAGCATCCTCGATCATTTGGCGAGAAAACCACGCACGAAGCCGACAAAAAACACAGGGAATGGATGTCCGAGCGATGGCCAGTCCAGGAAGACCACGGTCGGGTTGGGAGGACAAAGGGGGGGTTAGGAGAAACGGCGGCGTGGCCATAGCATCAGCAGTAGGGGCACAGGCAAGGACATGAGCATACACAAAAATTGGGGGTCCGCGCGGATTCCTCGGTTCGGCGCCAGGGGCCCCTGTCGGCGCCTCCTGCGCCGCCCCTGGCGCGCTCCGCGCGCCAGGGAGGGGAGCCCAGCACTGGTTTGAGAAATCCACGCGGACCTCCGAATTGTTATGTTTATGTCATGGCTTGTTCCTCTAAAGATTACCGCGTATGTTAAAGGCGCTTACAGTGGGGGCGCGCATCAAGAAACCATATTCTTTCGTCAGGGTATCTTGGGTTAGTTTGCTCCGCCCGCTGCGCGGTGACTTCCCGCAGCCGTTGGAGGAGCTGTTTCGTTCAGGGTGCTCCGGGCTTCCCCTCCAGTGGACTCCCCGCGCGGGTTTTCAGGGCGTTGTTTCTTGCGAGGGTTTCTTGCGGCCGCCCCCGCACTGCACTACACAGCCTTACCCCATATATCTTCCGAAGCACTTCCTCCCAACACGATGACTGCCTTCCTGCGGCGGGCCTTCCGGCGCCTTCGGCGGCCTTCGGCTTCCCTGCGGCGGCTTTTTGGGCAACCCTCGGCGGCCCTCCTCGGCGGCCCTCGGCGCGGAGGCGGCGCCCTGCGCGCCAAGCCGTGCGCCGGCACGCGGGAGGGAGGAGGACGAGGATCCAGGCCTCGGGTCAATTCCGAGCCCCCCGACGCTGACCTGGATTTGTTCCGCTTCTTCCAGCATCTCGATCCCTACTTCTGGGGGTCTTCCAACATTTTCAGTGCAGGGCAAGATAGATGTGCTGCAGTCCGTCGTGGCCCCAGTCGTGGATTCGCATATCGCAAATCGCAGGATCCAGGCCTCCCAAAGTGGGTCCGCATCGAGAGGGTCGAAGGATCACGCCGCATCACCAATGCATCAGCGACGCGGTTCGACGTGGAGCCCGATTTCCTCCACGCCGACGGCGCCGATGCATCGGCGATGCATTGGCGGCGGGATCTTCCGATCACAGCTACTCGGACCCCACTTGGGAGGCCTCAAGAGGAGCTTCTCATATTTTCCACAGTGAACTTATACGTACACCGGCAAACTGATAGATTCCCCTGCGGCACTGGGGAATGTATCAGTTTGGCGGCGCTCTTTTTGCGAATGTTTCAGACGGGGTGGCACGCGAAACCGATTTGGCAGTCTTATGTGTAACCGCTTGGTTTCCGAAGAAAATAGTTGGGCCAATGACCCAACCATATGCAGTTGTGGGTGCCGCGATTGTGAGTATCGTCTTTGGTGGAGCTCCGTTGTGGGCCACGAAACATGTGCGGGTCATGCCGACATAGGCGCGGAGGACGCATGCGAGAATTGCCACTGGGGCCTTCGGTGGAGCTCCGTGTGAGAGGTGTGACGGTGTGCCGTAATGGGTGCGGGGTACGCATGCGAGAGACGCAATTTCAGTTTTGGGACGAGCTCCCTGAGGGGTGTGTCGAAATTCATCGCGCGGGCGCATGCGAACTCACCACGGAGGCCCTCAGAGGAGCGCCTTGTGGGCCACGAAACGTGTGAGGGGTGTGTTGATATGGATAGAGGGGACGCATTCGAACGGTACCATTGGGTTTTAGGTGGAGGTCATTGTGGGGCTACGAAACGTATGAAGGGTGTGCCACAATTCGTGGAGGGGACGCATGCGAACGGAACCACTTGAGCCTCAGGTGGAGCTGCTTATGGTGCCACGAAACGTGTGAGGACCGTGTGGCGGGGACGCATGCGAACGGCCTTTAGGTGAAGTTCCCCCATGGCGCCACGATGCATGTGAGGGGTGTGCCGGAATTGGTGGTGGAGACGTATGCGAGCGGCACCAATTGGGCCTTAGGTGGGGCTCCCTATGCGGGCCACAAAATGTGTGAGGGGTGCCGAAGTGGGTGGCGGGGGCGCGTTCGAACGGCACCAGTGGGGCCTCAGGTGGAGGTCCTTATGGGGACACGAAGCGTGCGAGGGGCATGCCAATTTGGGTGGCGGGGGCGCATGCGAACGGCACCGCTTGGGCCTTAGATGGGGCATCGCCTCGTGCCACGAAACGTGAAGGGGTGTGCCGAAGTGAACATGCGGGGGCCGAGGGAGGGATGTGAGGAGGGGGGAGGGGGAGGAAAGGAGCCAGGAGACGCGGTGCGCTGTCTCGTCAAAGCGAGGGCCGAACAGTGCCCTGGCGAAAGACCCACCCACATGAGGATGCGACTACCGCAAGGCAGGTGGGACGAAAGAGGGGCAGCTTCCTGGGGCCCTGGAGCGCGTGAGGGGTGTGCCGAATCGGGTGCGGGTGCGCCATGCTGACCCAGCCATTGGGGCCTTCTGCGGAATTGCTCCCAACACCCTGTGGTGTTGGGTCCTCATTTTGAGGAGACAGCGCCCCGCGTTCCTGCTCCTCTTCTCTCCTATCCTCTCTTCCTCCCCCTCCTCCCTCCTCTCACCCACGCAGCCCAGGGACAGCGTTTTGTGGCCCCATAGGGAGCTCCACCGAAGGTTTCATTGGCGCAGTTCGCATGCGTTTCCCCCGCCCATTAAAGCGTTTCGTGCCCCCAGAGGGAGCTCCACCGAAGGTCCCAGTGGCGCAGTTCGCATGCGTCTCCCCCGCCCAGTACAGCGGTTCGTGGCCCCAGAGGGAGCTCCATCGAAGGTTCCAGTGTGCAGGTCGCATGCGTCTCCCCCACCCAGTACAGCGTTTCGTGGCAGAGGGAGCTCCACCGAAGGTCTCAGTGGCGCAGTTCGCATGCGTCTCCCCCACCCAGTACAGCGCTTCGTGGCCCCAGAGGGAGCTCCACCGTCCCCCAATCCTCCAACTGGCTTTTCTTCAACGTGTTTTCCTTGACTATTATCACAACCCTCCTATCGTCCAATGGGTTTTTCTACATTGTTCTTCCAAGATTCCAAGGAAGCGTCGGCATTCGGAGGTCCGCGTGGATCTCGTGGATCGGCGCTGGAACCCCCTGGCGGTGCCTCCGTCGCCGCGCCCCGTCTTGCTCCGCGCGCCGGGGAGGGCGGCTCCAGCGCTGATCCCGGAAGTCCACGCGGACCTCCGAGAGCTTATGCTCATGATGCACTTTGCTTCCAGGGGGAGGAGGTGGAGCAGGAAAGGTTCCTCCTCCTCCTCCTCCTGATTCAAAGTACGTGCGTTCCTCCTCCTCCTCCTCCTCCTCCTCCTCCTCCTCCTCCTCCTCCTCCTCCTCCTCCTCCTCCTCCTCCTCCTCCCAGGTGGAGCTGATAGGGAGCGCGGCCGGCCCGCGGCGAGGACGCGCGCGCGCGCGCTCTCGGGCCAGGCGGCTGCGGCAGCCCGGCGGCGTACGCGCCAGGGGCGCAGGCGGTACAGGAGCCTCGGGCCGCTGGGGCGACGGTGGCGACTGCGGTGTCAACGACGGTGGCGATGACGGCGGCGCAGTCGGCGGCGACGACGGCGGCGACGATGACGGCGATGACGGCGATGACGGCGACGGTGGTGCTGATGGGGAGGAGTCAGAAGCGCGCGCTCCCTCCCCTCCTTGGTCGGGCGCACACCTGTACATATACACTTATCGTAGATTCGCTGACCGGAGATAATCGCCATGGCGACAAGGAGGTCCTCAATATGGGACCAGTTCTAGAGGGTATACATGAACTGCTGCATGGACAACAAATCACCATACACCAATGCCTACGAACGTGAATACTCCCGATTTGGATATAAATAGGCCAGTGGGCCAATTGTTCGATATGTCGCTCAGCGCATGCCTTAGTGAGGGGGCCGTCTACAGGAAGGGGGGGCCACCCAAAAACGCTAACAGCCAGGCCGGGGGGCACAACTAAAATGTAAGATTCAAAATTACGTTTTTGTCCGAAGGCATGGTTTGGAAAATCCAGAATTATGGTTTGTTGTTGTTTTTGCCCTGAAGGGCTGTGTGTGCTTGAGTTCAGAAATCGCGATTTTATTGTGGGAAGGCTTCGCCTCTTTCGCCCTTCTGGAAGTGTTGTTGCACGATGAACGCCACGTGCGAAACATGTTTGTGGGGCTTTCCGTGTGTAGTTTCACTGGCGGTTGGATGCGTAGTTGGTTTCGTTACTGTTCGTATCCATCACGGTCCACCCAGCAACAGTACCCAGGCGAAATGTCTTGATCAGGGAAGTGCGGGAACATTCCGTGTAACGAAGAGAAAGTGATGGGGAAGCCGTCGAACTGAATTTCGTGGGTCAGCCTGGGCACGCCCGGGTGCGAATGCACATTCGCGGCCCTTGCCGAAACAGGCAGGGCGCAGAAGAATGATGAGGAGGCGGGGGAGGGGGAGGCGGGGGAGGAACACGAGGAGGACGAGGACTAAAAGGAAGAAGGGAGGAGCGACGGGAGTAGCAGGAAAAGGGCGAGCAGAAGTATGATGACATTGACTGCGCAAGCTTTGGGGGGGAAGAGGAGGAAGAGGGGGAGGAGGAGGAGAAGGAGGAGGGGGATGAGGAGGAGGAGGAGGAAAGGAGGAGGAGGAGGAGGAGGAGGATTGGGCGAGGAGGAGGAGGAGGAGGAGGACGAGCGCACAACGCGCACGAGCGCGTGCGCCCGAGGTGTGATTTCTGCATTGTTCTCAGCGGTCTGGCAACGAAGGGGCCTGGAAACGAAGGGGTTCTTGGGCGGTGACCGAATGGGCGTTCCAGGTAGCGCGGGGCTGCAGCGCGCCAGCCAAGTGGCTTAGCGCGCAACGCGCCCGCGCGCGCGCGCCGGCGCGAGCTGTGAATTCTGTATCACTTATAATAGAAGTGCCGCAATGTTGGCATGGAAGCTCAAGTGGTCCCCTGGCGGAGACCGACTGGATTTCCGATTTACCATGGGTTTGTAGCGCGTCGGTGAAGTGGCTCAGCGCGCAACGCGCCCACGCGCGCGCGCGGGCGCGAGCTGTGAATTCTGTGTTATCCACACAAGAAGGGCAGTCGTGCTGTCCTGGAAACTAAAGTGGCCCCCAGCGGTGACCGACTGGATTGTCAAATTGACATGGGGACGTAGCATGTCGGCCAAGTGGCTCAGCGCACAAGTCGCCCGCGCGCGCGGGAGCGAGCCGCAACTCTGCGTTATCCAGAACAGAAGGGCCGCCATGGTGGCTTGGGAGTTCAAGCAGCCCCTTAGTGGTGGCCGATTTCTTTTTCCAATTTAACATGGGCTTCTAGCATGTCGGCCAAGTGTCTCCGCGCACAGCGCGCCCACGCGCGCGCGAGCTGTGAGTTCTACCGGCAATAGCAGGGCCGCCATGCTGGCCTGGGAAATCAAGCGGCCCATTAGCGGTGACCGATTGAATATCCGAGATAGCTCGAGTTTGTAGCGTTTTGGTTAAATGGTTCAGCGTACAACGGGCCCACGCGCGCGCGCGCCCGCTTGCGCTCGCGCGCGCGAGCTGTGAATTCTGTATCACCAACAATAGAATGGCCGCCATGTTTGCTTAGAAACTTAAGTGGCCCCTTAGCAGTGACCGACGGACTTCCAAGTTAGCAAAAGGTCGTAGCATGCCGGTTAAGTTGTGCAGCGCACAGAGCGCCCGCGCCTGTGCGCGCAGGCGCGAGCTGTGAACCCTGTATTCTCCGCAATGCAAATACCGCCACGTTGGCCTGAGAACTCAAGTGGCCCCTTAGCGGTGGCCGATGGTATTTTCCATGTTTAACATGGGCTTGTAGCATGTCGGCCAAGTTGCCCAGCGTACAAGGCGCCTCGCGCGCGCGCCCGCGCGCGCGCGAGTTGTGAATTTTCGTGCTACCCGCAGTAGAAGGGCCGCCATGTTGGCCTGCACACTCAAGTAGCCCCTTTGCGGTGGCTTCCAGCATGTCAGCCAAGTGGCTCAGCGCGCAACGCGCCCGCGCGCGCGCGGGCGCGAGCTGCGAACCCTGATCCAAAGTAGAAGGGCCGCCGTGTTGGCTTGGAACCCCGGATTGATTTCCAGGTTAGCACTGGTTTGTGGCACGTTGGCCAAGTGGTCCAGCGCTCAACGCACCCGCCCGCGCGCGCGCGAGTTGCGACTTCTGGATCACTTGGTTACCCATAAAAGAAGGGCCGCCACGATTGCCTGGAAACTGAAGTGCAATCCTATCGTTGGCTGATTCGATTTCCGAGTAACCATTAGTTCGCAGCGTGCCGATTAAGCTGTAAATTCTTTATTGCACGCCATAGAGTGGCCGTCATGTTGGCCTGGAAGCCATAGTGGCCCCTTAGCGGCGGCCGATTGGTTTTCCCAGTTTACCTAGGGTTGCCGCATGTCGGCCAAGTTGCTCAGCGTTCAACGCACCCGCGCGCGCGGGCGCGAGTTGTAACCTCTGCATCGCTCACAACAGAAGGGCCGCCGTATTGGCTTGGAAATGCAAATGGCTCTCTAGCGATGGCCGACTGGATTTTCAATTTAACATGGGGTTGTAGCATGTCGCACAAGTGGCTCAGCGTAAAGGACGCCCACGCGCGCGCGAGCAGTGACTTACGAACTATCCACACCAGAAGGGCCGCTATGTTTGCTTGGAAACTAAAAGTTGCCCGTTGCGGTAGAAGATTGAATATCCTAGTTAGCATGTGGTTGTGCCATGTTGGCCAAGTAGCTCAGCGTACAACGCGCCCGCGCGCGCGGGCGCGAGCTGTGAACTCTGTATCATCCACGACAGAGGACCGCCGTGCTGGCCTGGCAATTCAAGCGGCCCCGTGGCGGTGGCCGAATGGATTTCCAAGTTAACATGGGGTTGTTGCATGTCGGCCAAGTGGCTCAGCGCACAACGCGCGCACGCGCGCGCGGGCTGTGCATCCTGCACTACCCAGAATAGAAGGGCCGCTGTCTCCTGGAAACTCATGTGGCCCCTGAGCGGTGACCGATTGGAATTCCGAGTTCACATGGGCTTGTAGCATGTGGCTGAACGCACATAGCGCCCGCGCGCGCGCCCCCCCCCGGCGCGTGCGAGCTCTGAAAGCCGTACTGCCCGCAATATCGGGTCCTTTATTTTGGCATGGAAGCTCAAGTGGCCCCTCCGCAGTAACCGATTGAACTTCCGAGTTAACATGGGGGTTGTCGCGTATCGGCCAGGTGGCTCAGCGTACACGTCGCCCACGCGCGCGCTAGCTGTGAACTCTTTATTTTTTTCCACCGTACAACGGCCACCATGTTGGCATGGAAAATCTAATTGGCCAATTAACGGTGACTGATTGTATTCCGAGTTAACATGGGCTTGTAGCATGTCGGTCACGTGGCTTAGCGTACAACGCGCCCGCGCGCGCGAGATGTGACTTCTGGGCTACCCACATTAGAAAGGGCCGCCTGGCCTGGAAACTCAAATGGCCCCTTAGCGGTGACCGATTGGATTTCGAAGTTAGCATGAGTTTGTAGCGTGTCGGTTACGTGGCTCGATTTACAAAGCGCCACCGCGCGCGCGCGCCCGCGACCGCGCGAGCGCGAGTCGTGAATCTTGGGTTACCCACAAAAGAAGGGCCGCCGTGTTGGCCTGTGAACGAAGGTGGCCCTGAGAGGTGACCGACTGCATCTCCAAGTTAACATGTGGTTGGAGCATGTCGACCATGTGGCTGAGCGCGCAACGCGCCCACGCGCGCGCGGGCGCGAGCTGTGAATTCTGTTGTGCCCACAATAGACGGGCCGCTATGTTTGCCTGGAAACTCAAGCGGCCCCTTCAGCGGTGGCCGAATGGATTTCCAAGTTAACATGGGGTTGTAGCACGTCGGCCAAGTGGCTCAGCGTACTACGCGCGCGCGCGGGCGCGAGCTGTGCATTCGGCGCGCGGCGGCCGCGGGCCTTTCTGCGTGGGAAATAAACGCAATATGCGATCGCGGAAATGCAGCCACACGCACTGTGGCCTGGGCCACTACGTAGGTAGGCGAACATACGGTTGCAAGGGGCAATGCCGCCGCGCGTTAGGGCGGGACACCATATTATGCGCGAGGGGAAAGCGCCGAGGCCATGTGCGGCCCGTGTTCAGCGCAGCCCGGTCGCCCCCGGCCTGGGGCCTGGCCCGGCAAGCAGCCCTGCCCACCCTGACCGGTACCCAGCGGGCTGGCCCCTCGCCCACCCAATAGCTCGGCTGGTGACCGGCCGGTAGCCCGGCCAGTAAGTCCGCGAACGCGGCGGGCAACCCTGCCGGTAACTCCACGAACCAGGCCGGTAACCCTGCCGGTAATTCTACGAACCCGGCCGGTGACCCGGCCCGGCCGGCTGGTAGCCCGGCTGTTAACTGCGCGCCCGGCTGGTAACCCGGCTGTTAGCCCCAGCCCGGCTGGTAACCCGGCTGGTAACCCGGCTGGTAGCCCGGCCGTTAACTGCGCGCCCGGCCGGTAACCGGGCTGTTAGCCCCAGCCCGGCTGGTAACCCGGCTGGTAAC